TTAAATGATAAGGATTTTATTTCTAACCATGATAATTGAATACATATGTAAACGTTTTTTGTAGTAGTATGATTGCTATATAAATAGCGAAGATGTCATATATTAAAATTCATTTTTCTGAAATAAGATGTTTCTGTACAATAATTAATTGAATTTATTTAATAAAAATAAGTAATTTTTTTATAATGTCATTCAGAGAGTTAATGTATTTTAATAAATGATTTAATTTTATTTATATTTAAACTGATAAAAATTAAACCATAAATTAATTTTAGAAAGTAAAATAGTTAAACAAAATCAAATACTAATGATTTTACTTGAATGGAATTTTGTGAAAACTACTCAGAGTAAATTTAATTTTCAAAATTAAACAAATTACATATTTTAATACTTCTTATCTTTTTTATAGTAGTATGCAGTATTATACTAATATATTATTAGATGGTTTAAATTTTTTTAATACCACTATTTGTTTAATATAATATTTTTCTTTAAATTCTTCATATACAATTGGTAATTTCTTTTTTGTAATATGAAGTTTTAATATACACTAAATTATAATTTTAGTCCTTGATTTTATCTAATTCATGAAATTAGTTTCTATAGTTTAAATTCAAATAATTTTGATTTTATTTTTATATATATTTTTCTAAAATTGATGAGATGTTCATTTTTTAACATATATTTTATCTATAAAATTTTACAATAAATTTATATACGATGATTTATTATATTTTACAATAAATTTATTATTTTAAAAAGGAAATATCGTTTATATAAAAATAAATAAATCAAAAGCTAGACAAACATGTCTTAAATTTTGTTAAATTAATTGAAATTCAATATTGATTCAAAATCAAAATCATTTGTACCAAAGTTTGAATATAGTATGCCTATCTTTTATTTCTCTAATAGAATCTTACATCAAACAAGTTAGGTGAAATTTTCACAATAAAATGGTAGAGTGGAGGGGAAGCATCAACCTTTTATAAATATAAATATAAACAAAGCACTTCTTTTTAATAAAAACTCCCATAATATTTTTAATCCTATGTTATTTTACATGTTACATACATAATAAATATAATGCCCTATCATATTTTGTAAAATCAATCTCCACATTTTATCTTATACTAAAAAATACGTTATACTTATACGATATAAGTTTTTGGTTCATTAACTTTAACATCCATGTTTCAAGTACACAAAATCAAACTTGAACTTAGGAGTAAAAAATGTATTTTCTTAAACTATTAAAATGATATAAAAGGTGTGGTATTCTATGGTATAAATCATAACGAAGCTTTTTGTCTTATAAATGTCACACAACATGAATACATATTTTCCTACTATACTTTTAACATTGTTCCTACTTGGTAATGTCACACTAGTGTTTTCACTAACAATAATCAACCATCACCATTTACAAATCCATCACCCTCAACTACATCAGACTCCATTGTCAATGGTCAACAACATACACCTATAATCATTGTCACTCATGATTGCAATAATCTTGCACACGTTGAATATAAATATTCACTAGTTGACCAATATATAGCCACAAATATATTTCAGATTATGTTTGCAATTCTTCATTTGATTCACTAGCTAGACATCTCATCTTCAGATACTTCAGTCACTTTTTATCCTATTTTTTCATGCAATCCTCTATCAAATTTATCCCTATCTCATCATGTCTACACTGCATCTATCACACACAACACTGAGCCTAAAAATTATAAAGAAACATGTTTATCTGAACATTGTCTTAAAGCCATGTCTTTGAATTAAAAGCATTGAACAAAAATGGTACTTGAACTATAGTTGATATGCACCTCATGTTAATCCTATTGCTAGCAAGTGGATTTTTAACGTCAAACATAAACCTGATGGGTTTGTAGAGAGATATAAGACTATGTTACAGTAGTTCCAAAAGGGTACAATCAAATTGAGAGTTTGGATTTTTTTACACGTTTTCACCTATGGAAAAACTCACTACTGTTAGAATCGTTCTTGTAACAACTTCCATACACAATAGATTTTTACATCAATTAGATGTCAATAATGCGTTCTTGCATGAAGTGTTGCAAGAGGATGCGCATATTATTATACTTGAAAGTGTACCTTGTACTAAGCCAAATCAAGTTTTTAAACTTTTAAATACATTACATGACTTAAAAGGCTAGTAGGAAATGGTATGAGAAACTAACCTCCTTACTAGTTCAACAAGGATATACGCAGTTCAACTCATATTACTCTTTATTTACCATTAAGCAAAATGGTACATTCATAACTATTCTAGTTCATGTTGATGACATCATACTAGATGTAAATTCCATGAGTTTCTTTGACAAAAATAAGGTCATTCTTGACAAGAATTTCATCATCAAGAACTTGGGTTTGCTCAAATACTCTATAGGTTTGGAAGTGGTACATTTAAATGAATGAATTTCAATATCACAAAGAAAACTTTGTTTGGATTTCTTGCATGAATATGATATTCTAGGTTCCAAACCTGCCTCTACCCATATTGATCCTCAATTAAACTACATGCAAATGGGGGTAAACCTTATAAAGACATTGATTTATATCAAAAGTTAACTGGTGACTTACTTTACTTGAACATAACCATATCGAATATCACATTTGCTACATAAAAATTAAACCAATTTCTTCACAACCCCATCATGTGTCATTATTAAGCTGCTTGAAGGGTTATCAAGTACCTAAACTCATAGTCTTGGTCGAGGTCTTATGTTCCATATAAGCCCAGTTTTGCAAATATTGGGTTACTCGTATGTAGATTGGGCCGATTGTATCAATGTTATAAAGTCCTTATCATGATTATTGCTTTTTTCTTAGGTTTTATTAATCTCTTGGAGAGCAAAGAAACAACAAACCATATATAGATAGTCTCTTGAAGCTAAATACAAAGCCTTATCTTCTACCACATGTGACTAATCTGTTGATATTTTTGATAAAAGAGTTAAATGTCACATGTTTCAGGCCTCTAGTGTTATTGTGACACTTAAAGTATGTTACACATTGTTTCCAACCCATTTTTCACGAGAGGACAAAACATTTGAAGATAAATTGTAATCTTATTTGAGAGGAAGTTCTAACATGATTTATTACAACTTCTTTCCATTCTATTAAAAGACTAATTGACAAATTTTTTTCAAAGACTCTACCATTTCTTCAAGTTCAATACCTTCATTTCTAAACTTGACATTGTCAATATATACTATGCTTAGCTTGAGAAAGTCGTTTAAGAATATAGTTTACAAATTATGTAGAAGTTACCAATATTAACTTGTTATATACACCACTATCCCACGTAGGGGTGGCAAACCGAGTCGTGACCCGCAGAGCCGACCCGCGCACCCGCCAAAGAATAACAACTTGAGTTGGAATTTCGTGCCCGCCTAACCCGCCCCGCTTTAAGTCCATCCCACCTTAAGCTCGCCAGAAAAGGGACGAGTTATCAAACACTAAAATCATTTTCTTTTGTTAGTTGAAGGTTAATACTTGAACTATATCTTGAAATACTTGTTAATGATTCTATTTTATACATTTATTTGTGAATATATGTAATATTTTTATAAAGTAAAATTTGTTAAAAAATGCTTTATAAAAAATTATTTTAAAAAATAAGTAAAAAATCTAATTTAAATATAAAAATAAGCCTATTAATCTATTAAAAAAATAAAAATAAAAATTAAAAAAAGACGAACCTGCCACTTTGACGGAACATGTAAGACTTTTAAATCCATTTTCACTTGACAGACTTGACCGTCTCACCTCTTTTTTGACGAACCTAAAATAGAATAGAGTGGACGACCCGTTTTGCCACCCCTGATCGCACGTCAAATTTGTTAGGTTGTATAATAAACTATAACTTCACTTTATATATATATATATATATATATATATATATATATATATATATATATATATATATATATATATATATATATATATATATATATATATATATATATATATATATATATGAGCATATCAAGTGAGAATGATTTTAAAATGAGAGATGAGAGAAACAAACAACAACCATTAGATCATGATTAAACGTATTCGTTAATGCGACTATTAATTTCTCTCTCTTATTAACTTGCATTTTATCTCTCTTATTAATTTGATTTAATAGTTGTTATTTGTTTCTCTCATCTTTCACTTAAAATCACTCTCATTTGATATGTTCGATATATATATATATATATATATATATATATATATATATATATATATATATATATATATATATATATATATATATATATATATATATATATATATATATATATATATATATATATATATATATATATATATATATATATATATATATATTGAGCTCATCATTCATGTAATAACCCGATTGAATGAAATAAACTACTTATTTCTCAAAGCTTCATTCATGCATTTTATCTCAAATTTTATAGTTTAAGACCTACCTTTTGAGACAACACAAAAAATTGGCCATTTACCATAGATTTTATCCTTTGTTAAAAATAGTATTTATTATTATTATTATTATTATTATTATTATTATTATTATTATTATTATTATTATTATTATTTTAAGTTTTAACAAAATAGTACAGTATATATTAAGAAATTAAAATTAGATTTATTTCCGTGTGTTTAGCCAACACAAACACAGTGTTCTTTAGCGTACGCTTCTTTCTTTCCATCGTTCAACGCCAAATCTTCTTCTTTTCAATTTCTTTCTTCTCTCTCTTCTTCAGTAAAATTCACTCAACACTTCCTATTAGCTCTGTATTACTATCTCATATTCACATTTCACTATCATATCAAACCAAATCCAAATCACAAATCTTAACACCCCACAATTTTTCTTGAATTCACACATCAGAATTTCAGTTTTTTTCACCTTCTTCCATCTGGGCACCCTTATTTGCATGTGGGTTTTCGGAAAGTTTGAATCTTTTTTGCTTCCAATTTTGATGGGACTGTAAATGGGTTCTTTGGATTCAACGATCCCATTGAAGAAAGGGAGCTTATTTGGTCCTCAATCAAGCAAAAAAGAGAAATCCCCGTTTTCACAGAGGTTTAGATCGAGCTTCTCTCGCTTGTTATTCAAGAAGCTAGATTACGTTCAATGGATTTGTGCTGTGGTTGTGTTTCTTTGTCTTGTTGTTGTGTTTCAAATGTTTCTTCCTGTTTCGGTTGTGGAGGATTCAGAAGAGTCTTTGAGAGCTGTGACTATGCGTTCTTGGGAGAGTTCTCGTCACGATAGTAGAGAGAGATATGTGCTGGATATTGGTGAAGATGAAGCTGTTTTTCTGCCGAGGATTTCGGAGAAGTTTAAGGATTTGAGTCTGTTGAATCATACGGGGGAGCGGTTTGGTTACAGAAAGCCTCAGTTGGGACTGGTTAGTTCACCTGATTTTGAACAGAATGGATATGTTGGTGTTTGTTTAGAATGTTTCTTTTTGTTGTTAATTGTTGGTAGGATTCAACTAGATGCAAAGTTCAATTTGTATGTGTGTTTGTGTGTCTCTAGGTGGATTGAGTTATTTGAGCTCATCTACTTGTATAAGAACTTGTGAGACGCCTTGAGTGAGCTTAGGAAAACAACTTTAGAGATGTTATAGTGGGTGTTTGGTTCTCCGGTGAAAAGAATTGATTTTGAATGAATTGATTATGTAAAATTGATTCTAGCTAAAAGTTAGTCAAGGTAAAGGGATTTATATTTGGAAGAGTTTATGTTGAAGGGAGTTAAAGAGTAAATTTCAGTGTAAAAATTACATTTTTGTCTCAAACTTCAAATTATAGCTTCAAGTAGAATCAATTCTAAAGGCATAATCAATTCTACTTTAGAAGAACCAAACGCCTCAAAATCATTCGAAAATAAGTTCTACACCTCTAGAATTGCTTTTCGCTCTTCCAAAAGCTAAACAAACATACACATAAACTATTTCAGCTTATTTTTGTAAGCTTTTTAAGATAGCCTATGAATGATAGTTTGACTTTATTTTATCTTTTGGTATAGAAATAGCTCATACATAAGCACTTATATGATAAATGCTTATGGTATAGTATAGACTCTTAATTTAGTTGTTTATCCAAACAAGACCTATGTATGTCTAGGGCGCTTATCAATTAACATCACGATTTCATTAGAGGAAGATGGACTAACCATACATACTACGTCTATGGAGGCGGAAACAGTTTAGTTAATTGCTTAGAGCTCATAAGAGCTAGATAAGCTGTTTCTGTACTTTATAAATGATTTTCATAAGCTATCTAGAAGAACTGAAGTTTATGAAAATAGTTTCGAATTACTTGCATAGTCTAGTTTTGCAAGCTCTTCAAAACAGGGACATACGCCCACCCTTCGGTGGTCATAAAATAATCCTAGATAAATTCTCTGTAAAGCCCTTCATAAGCTCCTTCAAAAACTTGTATAAATGCATATGCTATATGATAGACTCAACTTAGCTCTTTCAAATGCCTTATCAATAGAGTTTATGAGGTGCTAGCATTATCTCATGAGAGTAAGAAGTATTGAGCATACAACATAAATAATTGGACAAGGTTCGATTTAAAGTCTTGGATATTCATCTATAGTCAATGTTTTGAATTTCAGTTGTATATTTTAAAGTTGTATAATTTCAATTTTTTGTGAAGGTATTTGGAGAACTAGTGGTTGATTCACAACAATTGCTAATAGTAACAATTGCCACAGCTTTGTTAGAGATTGGCTACACAATTCAGGTACCTTATATACTTTTTATTTATTTATTTATTTTTAAATTTTCACCTCCTCGCCATTTACAAAATGGTTTTAAGCATTTTTATTAATATTATTATGGTTATTTTAATTAAAGTAATCTCTATCTTTTGCAGGTCTTTTCGCTTAAAGATGGACCAGGACGTAATATGTGGAGAAATTTAAGAGTTCCGATCACTATTATTCAAACTTGTCACAAGGCAGACCACACTGTAGACTGGCTAAAGTATGACTAACATTCTAGTTTTTACTTTTAGACTAAGCGAATTTCACGATTTTAAGAAATGAAACATCTATAAATCAAAGCCAACTAGTTTTTGTTGGATTAACATTCTGATTGCATCTGATAAGAATACATATCTTTTGCAGCTACGACGGTATAATTGTGAGCTCTCTTGAAGCTAGAGGTGCCTTTTCTTGGTACGATATATATTTGATTTTCTAAGGTCAAGATTCGGAATTGTTATTGTTACTTGAGTACTTCATGAACCCTTGAATTATATTTGATGTTTTCTACCATGAATTTCATTGTTCAAGCAACACAAATGATTTTATTTGTTACAGTTTTTTGCAGGAACCTTTCAAGTCTATACCTCTTATATGGATTGTTCACAACAATGCTCTTGGTTACCGTTCAATACAATATACTGCTAGTGGGCAGGTTGAACTTTTGAATGATTGGAAAAGAGTTTTCAATCGTTCATCCGTGGTTGTCTTTCCAAACTACGCATTGCCGGTAAACAGTTTTTTCATTGCTAATTTCTTCTCTATCTTTTATGAATAACTTTGACTCAGAAGACTGAAATAATTTTCATGTTGGATATTGTTCTTTGAACTTTTGTTTTATGGTATAAACAATATAGTTATAGTTATAACAGTAACTAGCATCTGACATCTCAACTAATGTTTTTTTTTTTTTGAAATTCCGCAGATAATCTACTCCACATTCGATGCTGGAAATTTTTATGTCATTCCTGGTTCCCCTGCCGAAGCATTAGAAGCAGATGCATTTATGGCATTGCAGAAAGATAATTTGCGAATCAGTATGGGCTACGGTCCAGAAGACGTCGTTATCGCAATTGTGGGCAGTCAATTTTTGTACAAAGGCATGTGGTTAGGACACGCCGTTGTTTTGCAGGCTTTGTCACCACTTTTGGCAGACTTCCCTATAAGCAAAGATAATTCTAGTGCGCAACTACGAATCATCATTCATAGTGGAGAGTTAACAAATAACTACAGTGTAGCTCTTGAGGTATATTTCTTATCTTTTCTCTTTTTCCTTTCCAAACTTATGGACAAATAGTTTGTTTATTTTTGTAATATTCTGTTTCGTCAGACCATGGCACAGAGCTTGAAATATCCAAGAGGTACCATAGAGCATTTAGCTGGAGATTTGAATGCAGATTCTGTTCTCAGCACAGCGGATGTTGTGATATACGGGTCCTTGCTTGAAGAGCAGTCTTTTCCAGAGATTTTGATTAAAGCCATGTGCTTTGAGAAACCGATTATTGCTCCTGATATTTCTATGATCAGAAAATATGTACGTTTCTGCTCTATATTTTACCATAGCCGTCATGCTATTATGTAGATTTTGGCTTTTATGGCTAATAATTTTGTTCGCATTAACTAGGTCGATGACAGGGTGAACGGCTATCTTTTCCCTAAGGATAATATTAGAGTTCTTAGACAAATCATGTTAGAGGTGATTTTAAAAGGGAAAATATCACCCCTGGCTCGGAACATTGCCTCAATGGGGAGAAGAACCGCCAAGAACCTTTTGGTTTCCGAAGCAATTGATGGATATGGAGTTTTACTTCAGAATATTCTCAAGCTTCCGTCAGAGGTTACCCCTCCTAAAGCTATTTCTGAAATACCCTCTCATGTTAAAGAAAAGTGGCAGTGGCATTTGTTTGAAGCAGTTCCGAATGTGACGTATCAAAATAGGGTATTGAGAAGCAACACATTTTTAGATAAATACGAAGAATTTTGGAATCATTCTCGAAAAAATAAACCGTCTACTGCTGTTGCTGTTAATGATCCATTCGTATATATCTTATGGGAAGATGAAAAGTATACTCAGATGGCTATTACCAAAAAAAGAATAGAGGATGAAGAGGTAATATCAGTTAAAATCCTGGTTTTAGTTAAGTTGTTTATCCAAACACGGCCTGAGTCGTGTTGAATTTTAATGCAGTTGAAGGATAGATCAGAACAATCACACGGAACATGGGAAGAAGTATATCGAAATGCAAAGAAAGCTGACAGGTTAAAGAATGAGTTGCATGAAAGGGACGACGGAGAGCTTGAGCGTACTGGACAACCATTATGCATTTATGAACCATACTCTGGGGAAGGTTCCTGGCCTTTTCTACATAAAAGATCTCTATATCGCGGAGTTTCTCTGGTAAATGTGTTCATTTGTATTTTGATATTCGGTACAAATTGTTAGTACCGGTCAAACAATTATGTTAATGTAATCTATAGTGATATGGTGCTTATGTTAATGCAATCTATTCACAGTCCGGCAAAGGTCGAAGGTCAGGGAGAGATGATTTTGATGCATCTTCTCGTCTTCCATTGCTTAACAATGCTTACTATAGAGATGTACTCGGTGAATTTGGAACCTTCTTTGCGATTGCTAACCGGATTGATCGCTTACACAAAAGTGCTTGGATTGGATTTCAGTCTTGGAGAGCAACGGCAAGGAAGGTATATAATATATATCACTGTCTTCATACAATTTCTGGAAAATAGCTGAAGTAGTTCAGTAAGTGTATTATCCGTGTCATTCTCGGTTTTTATTTTTTTTTTGACATTTAGCGTGGGATTTTAACAGGCTTCTTTGTCCAGAGCTGCCGAAAATGCATTATTAGATGCTATCCAATCTAAAAGGTATGGAGATGCACTATATTTCTGGGTGCGGATGGATACGGATTCGCGAAACCCTTTGCAGAAGGACTTTTGGTCTTTTTGCGATTCCATTAATGCAGGAGGTTGCAAGTAAGATTCTTTTAACCCATTATAAGTGTTTTCTCACTAGCATATGGGAAATTGGAGTATGTGCAAAGGTTGATTTTCTCTACATTTGTGTTTGAACAAAGACCCGCTTTCTCAGAAGCAATGCGGAGAATGTACGGGTTAAAGGATGACGTGGATGCTTTGCCACCCATGCCCGTGGATGGTGACACTTGGTCTGTCGCGTCGAGTTGGGCTCTACCCACAAGATCCTTTTTAGAGTTTGTGATGTTCTCAAGGTAAAGTCGGTTTCGATAATGAAAGTGTGATATTGGAAATAAGCTGAAGTTATCAACTAAGCAGAAACTACCATTTCGAAATAATGTTTTTGAAAGTTAAGTAAATGATGTAAACTACTACTTCTGCAGAATATTTGTCGATGCATTGGACGCACAGATGTACGATGAACACCATTCGACCGGACACTGTCCTTTGAGTTTGTCAAAGGTGACCCGCGTCTTCAAAAAAGTTACTTTCCTCTGCTTATTTCTGTTCCACTTTGTCCGAATTCATGAAAAATATATTCAATTTGCAGGATAAGCATTGCTATTCAAGAATCCTCGATCTTCTCGTAAATGTGTGGGCCTACCACAGTGCAAGAAGGATGATATTTGTGAACCCCGAAAACGGTCTAATGCAGGAGCAACACGCGTTCAAGAACCGTAGAGGAAAAATGTGGATCACATGGTTCTCATACAACACACTCAAGAGCATGGACGAGGACTTAGCAGAGTTATCAGATTCTGAGGATCCTAATAGACACTGGTTGTGGCCATCAACTGGTGAAATTTTTTGGCAAGGTTTATATGAGAGGGAGAGAAGTTTAAGAAACAAAGAGAAAGAAAAGAGGAAGCAAAAGAGTTTAGAAAAATTAACAAGAATGCGGAAACGACATCGACAACCAGTAATCGGGAAATATGTTAAGCCTCCACCGGATTCGGAAGAAAGTTCTAACTCATCTTTGGTTGCAGTATAAATGAAGATCTTGAATATGAATTCAATGCAGAAGATCTTGATATAAATTCTTTTCTTCTTTTGTAATTCTTATTTTCTTAACATAATCAAGATTTTCATTCAGTAAGCATGCTGATAAATAGCTAATGTGTAAAGTATATCTTAATAATAGTGATTTTTTTCTCCCTGTAATTCTATTCTTTTTTGGGATGGTAGGTTTTTTGTTTTAGGAAATGGTGTGAAGGGTTGTAATATTTTGAAGTTATGTTGTGTAATGTATTTTATGTTTGACTTAGAGGGAGTTCATTTACTTTTAGCAATGTTGCATTAAATTGAACTTTTTTGTTTAAAGCTATTGATTGACCTATATCCTAAGAGCTTTGTATTTTAATATAAGACTCAAATTATGTTTAGCTTGTTTCTTAGAAGGACTAACCTCAATAATTGGATCTACCAATGGTATTTTCCCTTTAGAGATTGGAACTTCCATGTTGATAATTTATCGATCCTTGGTTTTCTCACTTATATTGTCTTTAATTTGCACAATGTTTTCAATCTCTTCTGGACTTCCTTCTAGTGGTTGGATCACAATTGTAGTGGCTAAATAAAAACTATTGTTTGGTTAAACCAATACCTTATTTGCATACTGATAGAAAATTTTAAAAATATTATTAAAATTTGAATTTTAAAATTCGGATGCACTAAAAAATACGTAAAAATACAAGTAAGTTTTATTCGAATTTTTTAAACTCTGTTTGCTGATACATTGTTTTTTAAGTTTATAGAAAAGTGGTTGACGAACAACAGTGAAACGAACATAGTAGAGTGATCCAACATGCTTCAGCACGCAGGGAGAAAGCTAAAGTCTCACGACTAATAGCTAGAGAATCATCATGTACTGCCGATGGATCGTCTTTTTAGGGTCATGTATCTCGGCTCATAACAAAGCACTTGATGCTCCTATTCATGCTGATGTGCACATGCATAGGGGTGGAAAAATCAATAAGTATCTGTGAAACGTGGAAGTGCCCGACCCTGGCTGTTATGTCAAGAGGAAGATTTTGTTCAGGGTCCCTCAAACTTTCTTGCTGTCTCAGAACCTGAGCATCATCCTATCCGGAGTTTTAGCTGATGTGCTCTTGTCTTTCTTATGGACCACCATCAATTCCACAATCTTTCTCTTAATTGCCCCCTGATGACTCGACTTTGTATCGTACTTTTTGATTCATTTCACACATTTTTATCTGTTGTTTTATCGAGTCATTGTCGTTTTAGTTGTTGATCACATATGTTTTCTTCTGTTTTTACTTGATAGGTGTTATATCGGCAACATAGAAGAAAAAGATCGAAAGATGAGCTAAGCAATGAAGAAAATCCACCAAAAAGTCAAGTTCTAGCCTCCTTAGGGCAATGGCGCTCGCCATGGCCTGAGGAAGGCGTTTGCCGTGCAAGAAAAGGAGGGAATCCCAGTTTGAAGCAAATGGCGGTCGTCATTATGCACACGGCGGTCGCCATTCAGCGCGAGAACAATTTTTGCAGAGCATTTTTGGCAGTTATGATGGTTTTTGAGTTAAAACCTCATGGAATCCACCCATCTCTATATATAGACCCTTGTAGGTCAGTTTTTGTATCCAAGAAGCCGTGCAGAAGCGCTGCAGAAAATTCCTCAGACTTAGCCACATATTCACTTATCAAAGCAGTAATTGCTCATACTGAGTGATTGCTGCACTATTGTATTTCTTATTTCTGTTGATTGTACACTTGGATCAATATTGAATTTCATTTGAAGTCATTTTTATTTCGGTTTATCTTAAATTATTTAAATTTCCGCTTTACTGCATTTTCAATTCTGTATTACTTGCAATTACGCGTGTTTTAATTTATAACATGTTTAGTATGATAAATTTAAAGATAAATATGTGCAAGTAATTTCGTCTGAGTTTGTAGATTGAGGACCGTCGCTTCGAAGGGACTCTGTAGAAACCATCGGTGTTTAACTTAATCGTTTTAATTCCGGTTTTGGTATCTAACCTGAATTTAGGCAGTCTTATCGTGAGAGCGAGAGGCTGGTCAACAAAATTTTGTCACGAGAGTGAGAAACACACCAAGGCGTGTCTGATAGAGTGAGACTTTGAGGTGATCACCAGATAGTAGACACCGAACACTGAGCCTGAACACAACGAGAGCGCTTTAGGTTTTAGTTAGACTTTGTCAGTTTTCAAAGTGTGCCTTTTAACTATCAAGCGAGCAAGAGCAAAATCTTGGGGTTAACAGGTGCGGTTGAGTCAATAGCGTTAGAGTGTGAGATCGAATCTTTAAACCAGATTTTTCTACAGAATAAATTTGAGACCTTTGTTAACACTTGGGACCTATAGAGTCCCTTAGAAGCACGTAGATCATTCTTCGGACCCGTTTCTTTATCTTTTTCAAATCCCGTTATAATTAAGCTTCTTTTACCGCAAAAAGTTAAGCCTTAGCTTTGCACTGCAACAATTGATCACTTTAGGTTGATTATTAGTCCTTGTGGGTTCGAAAATCTTTTAAAACTATGCGATAAACTGTATAATTACAGTAGTAATCCGACCAATACGCAAAATCGCGATCACCCCCTTGATAGGTCGTTCACCCGAGGTTCTCTGCCGGTGGTGGCTGCAATATGTTGGCGCTTCCCCTTACCGAGTGCTTTATCATTTTCGCTGGTATCTTCACCATTAGCTATGATATCCACCATTTTGTACGTTTTTCCCTTTCTCTTCTGTCGTCCTTGGTATACTCGGACAAATGACCCCTCTTTATTAATTCCTCAATGGCATAATTCAAATGGATGCATTCGTTGGTAGTGTGGCCATGGCCTTTATGGAAGCGACATTATTTCGTCTTGTTCATTCTAGAAGAATCTCTAACAGGAAATGGGTTACTGATCTCGACCTTCAGGAATTCCGTGTTTGCATACTTTTGGTATATCTTCTCTCTGGAAGTGTTCAAAGGGGTGTACTTATCGTAGCAGCCATGAGTTCCGCAGTCAGATTCACCTCTGCGTCTGTTTGAGTCTTTCCCGGATAATTGGTCAAGACTTACATTTATCGCAACTGGGTTGTCTAACCAGGCGTTAAGTTTCTCTTAAAGTTAGATGAAATGATGTGCTATGTTCAACATCTCTTTCACACTATACACCTCTCTTTGCAACAATTTCTCCCTAAAGGTGCTATCCTGCCTTAGGTCGTTCTCAAAGATCCAACACCTAAGAGTTTTTTAAGCTCTTTCCACTTCCACAACCACTTGCATGAAATGGTCGATGCACGACCACAAGCTCTCTTTCTTACCATGTGTTATTCCTCTAAGGGCAACTATTATCATCAGTTGCCTTTTTCAAGCTGTGAAATGAGAGATGAAGCTCTCACACAAACTAGTCCATGACTCAATGCTTCTGTTTGGAAGAGATTTGAAATAAAGTCTGACAGATCTCATAAATGTTAGTGCAATTAGCTTGCACTTCGCTGCCTCATCGGCTTGAAAGTAGTTTAAATGTGTTGAAACATACTCTATTTTTGTTTTGAAACTAACAAACTATTTTATATGCTTATAAGATTCCTAAAAACCTTATTGGACATTAAAACACAAATATGCAAGTCAGATCATCAATCACTATGACTTAGAATATTCTTTCTTAAATAATATACATCTCAAAAAAGAGGAATACAAACAACATGAGGATTCAAAAAGCTTTTTCGAGGACAAAGCTCTCCACAACAATAAAAGACAAAAAAACAAAGATCTCTTGCAACATGAGATACTAAGTACAATTGAAACAATACTCAGAGTTGTTAAAGCAACAAGTTCCCAAACATATCATGATGACATCCGAGGAGCCACACTCTTCCTATGGCTCTCAAGTAATTATCAAAAATTGTTAAGGACAATTTTGAGATAAATATTTCAACAATATTTCTTTATCTCTATAAAATAAAGTCTCTCATTCATGAAAAATATCACAACTTCTAAACAATAATATACTCTAGAGAGCTCATCATAGTGTTAAAAAATACTTCATATCCTCACTGCCACATAATGAGAGGGTAAAGCTTTTGTAAAAGCTTTAAACATCAAAGTATATAATCATTAGATATACATAGTTGAAAGCATATTTAAGAAGAATCAAGTAAAGGATAATCTCATGAGGTGTGAGTGTAACACCCTTTTCTACCCCACAAATATAATGGAAAATCAATCATATTTATCAGAGTAAAATATTGAACACAATAAAATCATCTCAAAAGGACACACATTTCTCAAAAATTTGAATATAGTCAATGCTCCGTAAACAACGGGTTTTTCCTAAAATTACTCAAAAGGCAGCGGAACTCAAAAAGGCAAAATCCAAAGTTTTCCTTACAACAACATAATCAAAATAATAATCAATAAAAAATGGTTTAACTCAAAGACCCCAACCCGATGTTACACTATTAGAGCAAGACCCTCTAAGTCAATCACAATGACCAACGACCCAAAAACTTCAAAAAGTCCTCGACGACATCCACGACTAAACCTGGTCATCTGCATGTTACCCACATGGAGACAATATTCAAAAAGAAAGGGTGAGTAAAACGATTCATAATAATCAATATAAGAATCAATAGGTAAAATGACGTCATTTTCATATTCAACATCATCGCAATCATCAAGGAACATCAAAGGCCACAACATTATAAATTACATCAAAATGTCACATAAATGCAAATGCAACAAGACTCATGCATGTGGTACCAATCAATAAAATTCGATGGACACTAGGCCATAAATCCTCCATAGATCCACAACAGTAGGATCGATTCTACACGAGAACCAGAGCACAAAAAAATACCTCACATCTGCACAATAGGACTGAAGTCACAAAAATCAAGGCCCTGAACCGAAGTCTGGATGCATATGAATGCATGACGCACACGTCAATATCATCCTCATAATAAACTCATTAGGTGCATCATCATTCATCAAAATCATCATAATAATCATGTCATCATA